GTTGCCATAGAGACTCAGAAGGTATCTTAGAGGGTATTAAATCCACCTAAAAAATAAAGCATAGAAAAAGCACTTTAACTGAATCTATTGATTTCCTTCATGAAATCAATGACCCGATACATATATAAAAAGAAAGAAACCATTTGCTAATGTAACTACAAGGTTTAAAGCACATGAATTTCTCCCTCAAATTGCTTATGTGTATTTACTTCAAGACTCACTGGGTACGTGGCATTGTACTTGGCACTATGAAGGTGGTATAAAAATTCAAGGGGAGTCTACGGCTATGCTATCTTGAACAAGCCCGATCCCGTCAGATCTTGGAAGCTAAGCAGGGTCGGGCTTGGTTAGTACTTGGATGGGAGACCACCTAGGAAGACCAGGTGCTGTATGCGTGTAAAAAAAAAAAAAAAAAAATTCAAATGAATAATCCTATCTTTAAGGTTATGAACAATTTAGAATTCCTATGGCTTTGTTTTATTTTACTTTGTAAAATGGAGACTGCTCATTCAACAAATACTTACTGAGCACGTCATGTACCAAGTTTATCAGTGCTGTACTGTGTACAAGGCTGAAGGTGTATCAGTGAATAAAGCTGACTAAAATCTCTGCCTTCATGGAACTTATATTCCAGTGGGGGGTAGGGGTGACAGATGAAAGATAAGGGAAGTAAAATACATTGCATGCTAAGGAAAAAAAGTTAAGAAAGGGGATAAACAGTGTGTTGTGGGCAGGGTCTTATAATTTTAAATAGAATGACTAGGGAAGTTTTCATAGAGAACATCTGAAAATAGAAATGAAGGTGAAGGAAGAAGCTAGGCAGGTATCAGGAGTAAGTACTCCAGGCAGATGGAGCAGCTTGTACAAAAGCCTTGAGAGAGTGCCTGGCATGTTGGATAACTATTAAGGCATAAAGGCCAATGAAGCAACAATGAGGGTATATAGAAGAATTGAGGCCATTTGAATCACTGGGGCCTTGAAAGCCATTGGAAAGGACTTCGGCTTTTACTGAGAGTGAGATGAGAAGCCACTGGAGGATTCTGTGTAGAGGAGTGACAAGATCTTACTTGTTTTAATAGGATCTGGATGCTGTATTGAGAGTACACTTCAGGAGACAAGGGCAAAAACAGGGAGACTGGCAAGGCCACTGAAATAATCAAGTAGCCCATGGTGGTAGCATTGGAAGCAGCAAGAAGAGATCAAATTCTAGATACAGAGAATTAAACTTTTTATCACAGAAATTTTCAAATATAATAAAAGACGAAAGAATAGTATTATGAATGCTTATGGATCCATCAACTAGCTTCAATAAGTATCAATTTATGACCAATCTCGTTTCATTATTCCCCCTACCTTAGTCCCTCTGCCAATAGATTACTTTGAAGCAAATTCCAGACATTAGATCATTTCACCTGCAACATTTCTCTACATTTCTAGTTTAGCCTTGGAAGAAACAGCCTGGAGAGTTTGAAATACCTGTTAGAAGTACAGGTGGCGATGTCAAGTAGGCAGTCTACATACAGAAGAGTATGTACTGCCACAGACTAGACAGAATCATCCAGGAAATGGGTGGAAATGAAGAAATCTAAATTCTGGAGCTTTCTCATGTGGCACTCCAATTTTAAAGAATTAACTGGGACAGTCCGAGCATGGTGCCTAATACAAAGTCGGAACTCTATAAATGATAGCAATCAGGTTTTTTTGGTCTGATTTTCTTTTATCTGTTATCTAACAGTTTAAATTCTAGAAATGCAAAGTACTACTATGGTTTTGAAATCACTGTCCAAAGAAAAACAGAAGCACAAGCACAACAAATAACTTTAGCAAGTTTTACATAATACCCCTCAATATTTACGTTATATGTGCATTTAAAGGATACCCCATTGCTTAATTTAACTCATAGGTTAAAAAAAAAAGTGTGCCTCACTGTAATGGATTTATCTTCCCCTGGGAAAAGTGGCTTACGGTCCGCTGTTTTAGCACATTAAATATCTGGATACCCCTCAGCTCTTGCAGTGTCATTGAGAGAACACTTAGATTCAGCAGGCTGAGGCAGAGTGGGTCTTTGTTTTGTTAAGACCTGAATCCTGACTCCACTCTCTTGGGGCACATATCACGGAAAGCCGTTGCAGTGGGAGGAGATATGGTTCCCCCAGCAAAGTGTCAAGGAACCGAGCTTGGTCACCTTCACACAAACAGAATCACCACTTTAGCGAGCTTTAAAATTTTGCTGGGCCCATGAAACAGGCGGATTTTGGATGTTTTGGGGTCCCCAGAGGGTTGTTAAAAGCCCTGAGGGTTTTAACTTCACCCACCAGTGAGCACCATAGGCTACCAAGCATCTCTCCTGAGTCTGCCCCTGGGCGCCGCGTCCACCCATCCGGTTCAGTCCCCTGCTCCGCCCACCCCGCGTGATTGCTCCGTCTTTGCGTCTGAGTGAAAATCCACTTAGTCTGGAGATTCCGCCCCAAAGTGGCCGTAACTAAGTCGGCTCAGACATGCCTGGATTCCAATAACCAGGATTCCCGCGCCCAAAAGGACCGCGGCGCCGCAGCTGCGCACCTGTGTCCCCTGAATGAGACCTGGCTGACTTCCCCCTCCCGGCCCCGCTCTCCCAGGATCCCCTCAACCCTTACCGCGCCAGCCTTGGCCGCAGGTTATGGCGGGGCGGATCTGCGAGCGCCGCCAGCCCGGAAAGCTCCTAAGAGCGGGAAGCGCGCCGAGAGGGGTCAAGGACCCCACCCCACC